GGCTGGCACTTTGGCACAGCAGACTAAGTGGCCATCTTTAGTGTCGGCATCCCATATGGGCACGGGTTTTGAGCCCCAGCTAATCCACTTCCAATCCGTCTCTCTGCTAATGCACCTGGGAAAGCAGCAGAAAATGGGCCAAGTCTTGGGCCCCTGCACCCACAGGAGACCCGAAAGAAGCTCCTGGCTACTGGCTTTGGCCTGGCCCAGCCCTGGCCAGGGCCATTTGAAAAGAGAACCCACGGACAGATCTCTCTCTCTCTCTCTCTCTCTGTCTCTCCTCTCTTTCTATAATTCTTTCAAATGAATAGTTTTAAAAAAAAAGCTTAGATTTCAAAGGGCTTTTTCCACCAAAGTAAATTTATCTTTTAGGTCCACTTTTCATGAACTTTTTAGAAGTATCCCCACGTAAGTTATTCTTCAAGTGACTCTCATTTGTAAAAGAAAATTTTTTCTTTTTCTTGATAATAATTTTCTCAAAGATAAAAATTAGTATGTTAAAAAGCATTGATAATTTTTTCTAATATTCCAAGTAATCCTTGGAGGTTTTTTCCCAAACTACAGTTTGGATTCAAAGATTTTCTGAGGCCGGTGCTGCAGCAAAGTGGGTAAAGCCACCTCCTACAGTGCCAGGATCCCATATGGGCACCAGTTCAAGTCCCGGCTGCTCCACTTCTGCTCCGCTCTCTGCTATGGCCTGGGAAAGCAATGGAAGATGGCCCAAGTTTTTGGGCCCCTGCACCCATGTGAGAAGACCCAGAAGGAGCTCCTGGCTCCTGGCTTCAGATCGGCACAGTTCTAGCCATTGCAGCCAATTGGGGAGTGAACCAGTGGATGGAAGACCTCTTTCTCTTCTGCCTCTCCTTCTCTCTCTGTGTAGCTCTTTCAAATAAATAAAATGAATCTTCAAAGATTTTCCATGTGACATCAAATAAATTTTTTTTTGTCATGGAAGCCACACGTTTTTAAAATATATAGATCAGGGGGCCAGTGCAGTGGCATAGCAGGTAAAGCCGCCGCCTGTAGTGCCGGCTTCCCATAGGGGCGCCAATTAGAGTCCGTCCCGACTGCTCCACTTCCTATCCAGCTCTCTGCTATGGCCTGGGAAAGCAGTAGAAGATGGCCCAAGTCCTTGGGCCCCTGCACCTGCGTGGGAGACTTGGAAGAAGCTCTAGGCTCTTGCTTCGGATCGGTGCAGCTCCAACTGTTTTAGCCAGCTGGGGAGTGAACCAGCGGATGGAAGATCTCCTTCTCTCTCTGCCTCGCCTTCTCTCTGTGTAACTCAACTTTGAAATAAAATAAATAAATCTTTTTTAAAAATACACAGATCAGAGGCTGGCATTGTGCTGCAGTGGGTTAAGCTGCCACTTGCAATGCCAGCCTCCCACACCACAGCACAAGTTCAGTTCATGTCCTGGTTATTCTGCTTCAAATCCAGCTCCCTGCTAACAGCTTCTGGCTTTGGTCTCACCCAGACCTGGCCGTTGCAGCCATCGGTGCAATGAACCAGTGGATGGAAGGTCTCTCTCTCTCTCTAGCTCTCCATGTGTGTCACTCTGCCTCTCAAAAAAAAAAATAATAAAATAAAATACAGAGATTACCACTAGACAAAGCTTCTGAGATCACACTGGCTACTGAGTGCTGAGAGACACCGGCAAAATGGAGATTTGGAAACATTTTTAGATCACCAACTTCACTTTTTTCAAGATTTCTAAGTACCTGTAATCTGTAAACTAGTTGTTCCAAAACAGTTTCTGTTAAATGTCGCCTAAATGAAGGCTGGCACCATGGCACAGTAGGGTAATCCTCCGCCTGCAGTGCCGGCATCCCATATGGGCACCGGTTCTAGTCCTGGCTGCCCCTCTTCCAACCCAGCTCTCTGCTGTGGCTTGGGAACACAGTAGAAGGTGGCCCAAGTCCTTGGGCCCCTGCACCCATATGGGAGACCTGGAAGAAACACCTGGCTCCTGGCTTCAGATCGGCACAGCTCCAGCCATTACAGTCATTTGGGGAGTGAACCAATGGAAGGCAGACCTTTCTCTCTGTCTCTCCCTCTCACTGTCTATAACTCTACCTCTCAAATAAATCAATAAAATCTTTAAAAAAAAAAAGTCAGCTAAATGTGAACCCACGTTTCGTGACATTTGTAACCTTGAGTAACTATGATATTGAATGCCATGAACTACATGTCAGAGTATATAATTAGATATTCTATTTCACTTTTTTGTTCATTTTCCCCATTTAAATGTATTTTGGTGCCTTTTACATATAAACTGCACTTTTAGATACTGTGTGATAACTGACCATTCTTTGTTCAGAATATGAGGAATCTCTATTAATTGAGAAAATGCTTGTAAATAAATAGCCATAACTATGTAAAAAAGCAAGAAAGACCCTTATCTGGGTATAACTGATGTCTATGAGAGTGCAAAAAGGGGCCACATTCTAGGTCAAGAAGAATTTGAGAATTTTTTTGGTGGGGGATGTCGCATTGGGTTGCAATAGATGCCTATGAGTGGAATATTTATAGGAAATCATGGCAAATGCTCCAAGCAGACAGAAGAGAAAACAGAGAGATCCACAATTCTGGGTCATATGTATCTCAACCCAAGAGCCATGGAGGGCATAAAAGGGGGTGAGGCTGGAAACGCTGAGGATCGGGGATCCCTGGCTAAAACGCCTGCCTGTTCTTCAAAACCCGAGGGGAGGCCAGCGAGAAGTTGTGAGCATGATCCTGATTGCAGCAAGGGTAAACTGGAGATGGAGGGGAGCTGGGTTCCCCCTGACAGACAATGAAGGCCTCAAGTAGACGGAGTTGATAATATCTGCGCAGAGATGGTGCACAGATAGATAAGAGGAGCATGGCAGTGCTTGGGATGCGGGGAAAAAAAAGAGAGGAATCCAGCGTAACACGGAGTTCTGAACGACCGTTCTGTGAAGTACCGGGTACATCAAGGCGCTGTTCTCTCGGGCAGTCTTTCCACTTGTTACCCTCTTGCTCTCTGCTTCCTTCAGATGGGCCTTATGAAGTCATGTTCCTGTTCACAAGGGGAAAATCTGTCTTGTTCAACAAGCTATAGTGGAGCAAGGGTTGGAGGTGAGCCCTTTTGCCAGCTTCAAGGATTTCTCGGCCTTGATAGTCACAGAACTACGAGGCACTATGTGGCACCATAGTCTTCCTGAGGTACACTAAAAGCAAAAACCACCCACAACAGGTAGCATCACCTCAATGTGATCACTTTCTCTAACCTGGTAAGTGATCTCATGGCATAAGGGAAGCTTCTTGCCAGCCTCAGGACCTTTGCACATGCTGTTCCTGGGAATATCTCTCCCACTGGTTTCTTCAGCTATTCTTGTCCTCAGCTTTAAGGTTACTTCCCCAAGTGGCCTTACTTGACTACCTTTTCTAAAGATGATCCAATCCTTTCTTCTCTATAGGAGCTTCCTTTTGATATATATATAGATATATATATATATATATATAGTGTGTGTGTGTGTGTGTGTGTGTGTGTGTGTGCGCGTGTATTCTTTTAACTTGGTACTCAATATAACTGACAATTATGTTAGCTCCAGCTTACTGAATTTGGTTTGCCTGTTATTTGCACAAAATGGAAGATCCGTGATTACATAGCTCATTGTCTCCTTTCTTGACTACTGTTTCCCAGCACCAAAAACAACACCTAGCATTCCGTAGGAGACACTAAGCAAGCATTTGTCGAATGAGTAAGTGAATGGATAATTAATGGATAAATAAACCCACCCTCTTAGAAAGTGCTATATAGCCCAAAAATATAATCATTTGCCCCTAAGTGATTCAATTAAACACAAGAAGTGGCACCGATAACTATTCATCTACTCTAATTCTCAAGATAACATATTCCTATAAAAAACATTTACATGACCCCCACAATGATATTTGGGAAATAGAACCTAAGTATTCTCTGGAGTGTCTTAATTTCCATAAAAGCTCCATGGTGCTATACTGAGTTGTAGTGCTTTTCAGGCTTTTTATAGAAAATTATATGGAGGAGAGAATAGAACTTTGAAAATCAACCTGCATTCCTTGTAGTAAATATTCTTTCAAGAAACTTTTCTCAGGCCAGCGCTGCAGCTCACTTGGCTAATCCTCTGCCTGTGGCGCCAGCACCCCGGGTTCTAGTCCCGGTTGGGGCACCGGATTCTGTCCCGGTTGCTCCTCTTCCAGTCCAGCTCTCTGTTGTGGCCCAGGAAGGCAGTGGAGGATGGCCCGAGTCCTTGGGCCCTGCACCCCATGGGAGACCAGAAGGGAGCATCTGGCTCCTGGCTTCGGATTGGCACAGCGCACTGGCCACAGTGCGCCGGCGGTAGCGGCCGTTTGGGGGGTGAACCAACGGAAAGAAGACCTTTCTCTCTGCCTCTCTCTCTCACTGTCTAACTCTGTCTGTCAGGAAAAAAAAAAAAAAAAAGAAACTTTTCTCTGTGTGTGGGGGCAGGGTTAGGGTTACAACACAAAATTATTTTCTGCTGTGATTCAAAGTCAAGAGATACACTCTGATATTTCCCCTATTATCCTAATCCCTTATCTGGCTGCTATCATAGCTCTTCAAAGCCAGCCTTGAATTGTCATCGTGCAATGCTATGATTCCTTATGGCCTATGTGCAGTGGAAACCTTCCCACAAATGCACACAAAAATCCAATTTCTTAATGTTTTCTTATGGCTCAACCTACCTTAACCTTCCCCAGGATACTTGAGCTCACTGTAAAGTGCATTCCCAGGGTCCTCTTTGCTGTAGTGTACTAGGCTGCCTTGACGTTAACCAAGAAAGCATGCTCACTCACATGCACACAACACACATGCAGGCTCACTCACCCACACTCAGGGTAGGACAGTGGCGAGATTTGCCATTCTTTAGATTTAGATCAAAAGGAATTTGAAACACTGGCCTGACAAGCAATAGAAAGAAATATTTGCTAAAATACAATTGGCTAACTTCTTTTCTTCTTTTTCTCTCTTTCCAAGCTGCCTGCCTCGTGCTTGGCTGTATGATTTTCCCTGATGGCTGGGATTCAGATGAAGTAAAACGGATGTGTGGAGAAAAGACGGACAAGTACACCCTTGGGGCATGTTCGGTCCGCTGGGCATACATTCTGGCTATTATTGGAATCTTGGATGCCCTCATCCTCTCGTTTCTAGCATTTGTGCTTGGGAACCGACAAGACAGCTTGATGGCAGAGGAACTGAAGGCAGAAAACAAAGGTAAGACTGCTTGCAGTCCCTACTTGTTCCCATCAAGGACTTGTGCTTCCTCTGTGGTTCTAATTTGCTGCTCCTTTTAATACTGCCTGGGCCATAGACTTTCCCCAGCTTCAACTCAAGAAGCTTAGACAATTATAGTACTGCACTTACTTCTCTTTCCTGGGCTCCCCAAATCCATTATTATTTAAATACAGTTGTCCAGTTTCTCCTTCCCTCTTTCTCTGGTAGCAGGTTTGCCATCAGGAGTTCATGGCTAAGATGCAATTTTTTTTTCATCTATTTAGTTGAAGGGAAAGTGCTTCCTCTCCATATAATCAGCTATTTTGCAAGTTGAAATAAGTGCCGGGTAAATCTCTCAAATCATCTGTAAACATCTTTATTAAACTATCTGCCATCATTTTGCTTGAATTCCAACTCATCATCTTAAGAGAGAAGGAGTAAGACCGGCCCCAAATAGGTATAGTCAGAGATTTCAGTAGTTACCAATTTAGCTGAATTTTAAAAGTGTTATCTGGGTAATCCAAAGTCCTCAGATTTCTTTTCAAAAGGAAATTGCCTTCTGGAGCACAAAGGAACTTGGCTAGAATATGGGCTGTTGATGAGGCAGTCATTCATAAACACAGCACAGTAGGCAAAGATGCAGCAAGCCATTATTCAAGGTGAACCTTTGCATTTTCTGTCCAATTTTCTTAACCAATTTCCCGGGATAGAATGCTAATGCCTTGGTTTTGTAACAGACCGAAATTCCCCCAACCCTTTCATCTTTATGTTATCTTTCATCATTCGGGCTTACATCAGCCCCTTCAGCTGAGCAGTTCCTTCTTCTAGTGCTTTTTCCTAATTGGGAACTAAATCTATCCTTGAATTATGAAATTTAGCTTATTATTTCAAGGAGATGCTGATTTCAAAAACCCTTCACTACTTCAACAGATCTCAAACATAAGCATATATTCATTCCCACATGAATTTTCCATGGAATGACAGCATAGCAGGGTTTGTATGTAGATTGTCATTGACTGTGCTTGTAAACTATAAAGAAGGGACATGGAGCAGGGCAGGGCAGCAGCAGTCACCCACGAGCCCTTTATCTTCCTCATTTATAGACAGAACACATATCAGCCTGCTTAGATTTATCAAAAACATCCTATGCACAAAAGTTACCCTTTCACGGCGAAGTGGTGCTGAAACTTCCTCGGAACGAAACTACCAAAATGTCAGAGTTGCCTCTTGCAGATAAAAAAGAGAATATGAAGATAATAATTACACTTTCACTTCTGCTACAGATTCCATGTTTTCCCTTGCACTCATTAATGTGGTGCTCTTCACTGCTGTGTTTGGGCTTTGCTGGATGTACACATTTCCCTTTCCAGTTCACTTCAAATTTAATGATAAGGACAGCTGAATAATAGAACAAGTTTCCTTGCCAAAAGAAAGGATTAAAAAAAGATCGTTTTGTTCCGCACTCGCTTGATTTCCACCAACGCTAGTAATGAAGCAGAATGTTACTTATTTTCTGTACAGTTGAAAGTTATATTGAGGACCTTTAACTTCCCCCACACCCTTTGAGCACAAAGAAGAGAAGCCAGAAAAAGGGGGGAAGTAACATAGCAGGAAGAATGTTACTTGGTAATTGAAAATTCTAACTCATGCTCGTGTGTCTGTGTGGCAACATGTTCTCCTGAGTTCATGCCAGGATTACAAAACACCCTCAGCAGGGTCACAGTGGATCTTGCCTTCTAGTTGATTCAGTTAAATGTTGATGCCTGATTCCTTCCATCTAGGTTTTCACGAAAGAAAGCAAGCATGATTGCCCTTTCTGTGATACGTCAGGAACACTTTGGTAAAACGTTGCGATGGGACGGAAGGTTAAAGAGGCCAGCGGAAGGCTCGTGGCCCTCTGTGTGTCATTTTGTGGTGTTTGTCATGTTCTCCGTTTGCATGAGTCATGACCGCTGCTTCCACCCAGTCCTGAAGGACTAATAGCAGCAGCAGCTTCTCTGTCTCAGATCAGACAGGTCCAATAAAGCACTAGAGAGCATCAGGCCGTGCTGCTGAAACATCCCCACACTTTGATTTTTCCACTGAAGTCTTTCATCTCAGGTCCTGAGCACAGGTGGAGAGCTGTGCCAGGCACACATGTCACACCCCCAAACAACAGGGTCTGCATGCAATCAGAACTTCTGGACTTTGTGTAATCAAACTTTCGTATTTCTGAGAAATGGTGTAGTTCCATACAAAGCAGCCTGCCTCTATTATATGGTACTATCTAAGCACCTACTCAATGTGGAAACTATCAAAATCAGACTTTTGAGGAAAGGTCAATCAGTGATTTTGTATGTTGTGTGTATGATCATAGTTTTACTAAATAATAGTTTAACAGCTTTCAAGTATCTGCAATAACCCAAAGTTAATGTCATCAGTGTTATCTTCCATACATCCTAAGGGAAAAAAATTGTGCTTAATATAAGAGTAATTTATAATTATGAAATTGATTTTATATCAATGAGCATTTTTACAATTGTTGTGGCTACATTAATATAACTTTTAGCTTATTAAAACATTTTGCCACTATTAATTTTTTTTCTGATAAAACTATCCTTGGTAGTCAAGGCTTTCTTTTTAGCTCCAAGGTGGTAGAATCAGATAAAGGTAAATCAAACTATAGCTCAGATTTTAGAAAAATGTATTAACTCCAGTGATGCCTCTGGTGTCATGGAATCAGGAAATGCTGTATCTCAAACTTTGGCTCAAAAGAGTAAAGAATTTTGAATATAGATGATATCACTCTACATAATGTAATGTCATTCACAACTTCATAACCTCCTTCCAGTTTTATGATACACCAGTCATCATATCAACCTACATCCTGTAATAAGTAGCAGAAGCATTGTAGAGAGAATAAGGCTGCAATTGTAGCAGGTGTCCCAGTTCATCTCATGTCATGATTGCACCTTCTTCTGGTGGTGGATGTAATTCATCCAGCAGTGCACTTCCCCAGGAATCTAAAAGTCACCAAAAAGACTCAGGTTTTTCTCATATAATTAGAGCAAGGAAATTGCTTAGATTCATAAGTCTTTCCCAACCATCACCCTAACAGTTAAAATAAAACAAAATATAGAAATTTTAGAATATCAGGGAGGAGACAGAGACTCAATTCTAAATGTTGAACTATGCTCCATTCACAGAGTCTTAAGATGAAAGGGAATATCAGAGAGTGAGTCATGAATTAATCATCACAAAGGTGCTATTCCCATGGAAAGCCAGGGGAATGTGCACAGGTGCAGGTCTCTACCTCTAGGGACAGCTCTCTCGCAAGGAATGTTTTCGGTGAACACCCCCAACTCCATTTCCATATCCCCTTCAGTGCCTCCCACAGTGTTTCATAACCTCTCCTTGCCCAAACGGTGCAGGGATCATTTGAAAGTAGCAGCAGCCAAAACTGATAGGTTGTGAAATGGCAAATTGAAATAAGGGCACTTTAAGACACTTTTTTTTTTTTTGACAGGCAGAGTGGACAGTGAGAGAGAGAAAGAGAGAGAGAAAGGTCTTCCTTTGCTGTTGGTTCACCCTGCAATGACTGCTGCAGCCGGGCACACTGCGGCCGGCGCACCACACTGATCCGATGGCAGGAGCCAGGTACTTATCCTGGTCTCCCATGGGGTGCAGGGCCCAAGCACTTGGGCAATCCTCCACTACACTCCCTGGCCACAGCAGAGAGCTGGCCTGGAAGAGGGGCAACCGGGACAGAATCCGGCGCCCCGACCGGGACTAGAACCCGGTGTGCTAGCGCCACAAGGCGGAGGATTAGCCTAGTGAGCCGCGGTGCCGGCCACTTTAAGACACTTTCAACAAACAGAAGGCAGTGTTGATGATGCAAGTGTTGTCTTAGAGGGAACTTCTGCAAGAAATCAAGTTTATCATCTATCTTGGCGTTCCATCAAGTGCCATATTGCTTTTCAAAAGAAAAAAAGAGGTCTACTAAGAAAAGAGCTGTGAAAACTGTTTCAACATCCAACCAACTTTATACAGGAGTTGGCACATGCAAAAACAAAACAAAACAACAAAAACAAACAAACAAAAAAAAAACTCAGCTGCCTGCTCTGAGTTTGGGGAAGCAGCCCTGCAGGTTGTGCACCCTCCAAGACCCTGGGCATAACAGTGGTCAGGCAGGTGTCCCATCTTATTTGGGAGTCCAGCAGCATGGTTTCTAAATGAGCCAACAGCAGTAGGCATTCAACCCTGATACACTGTTTAACTGCAAATCTTAACACACTGAACTGTGAAGTCAATTTAATTATGTAAAATTAAAATTTCATCCAGATAAAAAAGACCTGAAAGGAAAGCTTCATTTTCAATTTCTTTCATTAATTGTGAAAGGATAAATAATTACATTTTCTGGAGCTCCTGTGCCACAAATATCTCTTTCCTTGTCAGACATCATTCATGAAGAGGTCTGTTTCTGTATTTGTGTCTGTGGTCTTTGGAACTGATTATCAGATAATTAGGTCCTCTCATGAGCAGTTTTAAAGTCACTTTGTCTTCTAGCAGTTAAACTGAAAATGAGAAAGCATGAGTATCCATCAAGACGTGACTTCAGCTGCCATTTGTTTATTAAGTATTTAAGTTCTTTTTACTGCTATTATAGGGGAAGTTGGAATAAGTTCATTTTACTTAACTAATTGAGAAACCCTTTGGAACTTTTATTTTGCTGCAGCCACACTGTGGGTGGCCATGTGGTGTAATGGACAGTGCACACAACTGGATCAAGCTACCTGGTATTAGTGACGTCCCTGACACGAGAAGAAAATCTTTAGACCAGTACCTTAAAATTTAAATTAAAAAAAAAAAAAAAAGATTTGGCCAGCGCTGCGGCTTACTAGGCTAATCCTCTGCCTGAGGCACCAGCACCCCAGGTTCCAGTCCCGGTCGGGGCACCGGATTCTGTCCCGGTTGCTCCTCTTACAGTCCAGCTCTCTGCGATGGCCGGGGAGTGCAGTGGA